CATTGCGTCTGCCGTAACCATTGCAAACTTTTCAAAATGAGCTCTCTTCATTTTTTTTAATAAGTAAAATTATCATCTAGTGTTTACTGTACATGCTGTACATTCTCAAGGGATGTGTTTTACACACATACAGAAAAAGCCATGAAATTGACAGCTGGCAACTAGCAGATGCTCATGGAGCAGGACAAACCGTCACAATAAAAGCTGCCGCAGTTTCTAAAAGGAGAACTGAGTCCCAGCAGTTGTCTCCCAGTTATATTTTCCTATTAAAAATCACTCTCCTCACATTAGACTTCTCTCTACTTAATTCACCCAATGTAATTTGTGCTTGCTAAGAGTCACCACTGTATCAGTGTATCTCACAATTCATACACACACGGTGACCAGAAAGATGTGATACCATTACAATGTCTAAAAAGTCTTGAAAAAAGGATGATGTTTTTTAGATAATAGGGTAGTTATCACGAATTTTTGATCAACCTGATATACTCAATCCCGCAGACCTGTTTTTTTGAGTGAAACTCTCTCTTTGACAGTCGTGAGATATTGTTCCCTTATTTTATTTTTTGGTGGTCTTCCATATGCCTGTCACTTCTTGAAAGAAGTGATTGAAAGCTGATGTGATTTTTTTGTTCTGGCGCTCTGCCATTGAGCCCAGCACCTAACAAGAGAGTGGCTGTGATTGGTGAGGAAAGAGCGCAGGCCATAACATAATGCAGCACGCTGAAACTCCCATTGTATCTGCACCACCACACACCTTTGTTATAATCGCATTTCCCTTGAATGAAGGTTAAATTACTTAAAACATACAGCATGTAGAGTCCTGTAGCTCAGTGATTAGACCCCTCGCTTTGCAAGCGAGAGTCCTGGGTTTGATTCCCAGCAGGATGAAATGTTGGGCATGCTTCCTTATTCCACACGCCTCTGTTTACCTAGCAGTAAGTAGGAACCCAGTTGTTAGCCAATTGGCAGATCACTTTTCCGGGGGTAATAATTCCTTCAAAAAAAATTGGTCACTTCCATCCATGACTGTTTGTGGGACACTGCTGTGCATAATTGGCTACCGTGGTTCACCCACAAAATATACAGTCAATTCACTTTATAGTATATTCTGTGACGCGCTTTGAGACATCTTGAAGACATGAGAAGGTGCTATATTAAATGAAAGGATTATTAATATTATTAGCGTGGAAACAGGCCCTTTGGTCCAGGTAATTGCATCAGGGTTTATACTCCACATGAACCTCCTAATTCCTTCTGCTATACCCCTTTATCCCCTTCTCCCTCTTGTAAGCATCAAATTTTTTTCATCAAATACATTGAAGCTTTCTGCTTTAATCGCAGCTTACGGCAAGGAGTTACATATTCTCCCCACCTTCCGCGTAAAGATTTTCTTCCTAAATTCTCTTTTAGAAAAAAATGTATTGCCAGATGGGGTCAGTCTTCACCCGGGAAATGAAGGATCTTAATTAGGTCACTTAACCAGATTTCATAGCAAGAAAAAATATTGCCATGGTAACTCAGGTCTAAATGAGCACAAGGTGTTGAGACGTAAAGGAATAAGGACAGTCCTAATAGAACTAAGAAAGAAATTGACTTCATTTACTGAGGTTGATTTTCCATTTTAACTTCTTAAGGTCATCACAAAAAAATCTGCAGATATTGCCCACAAGTAAAGTCATGGGCGTTCTAAATGGAAGAATAATGCACTTGCCTAAGAGAACAAAATCTGAAAGCAAATAGCTCAGGGGTAAGTAACTGTTCTTTATATCCTTTTTAGTGGAAGCTATATTTACCTGTACATATAAAACTTTTGCATATCAAAGCTGTATGTTTGCCTACAATATGCAAAGTCACAACACAGTATAATAAATACTGTGAAATCCTTTCAGATGTCCTCCTGACATGAAAGGTACTATACAATGCAATGTAATTTACATTTATATATTGCCTTTCACATTGGGAGGATGCCTAAAAGCCTTTAACATCGCCGTAACAACTCAAATGATTATTTAATTTTCTAATTTGATGTAAAGTATAAGTTTATTAAAGAAAAATTCTAATGCTCATGTTGTTAACACCTGTCGGAATCTTCCTGCTGAGAAAATCTGGGGACCAAACCTGATTTTTTCATCAAATAAACAATTGCTACTCAAACACTCAATTGGTACCATTATCCTCTCTGAGTCAGAAGGTGGTGGGTTCAAATACCCTTTTTGGGTCTTTGAGCCCATGGTCTGATGTCTGATGTCTGATATTTCAGTGGAGTGTTGGGAGGCTTTCTGGGGAAGAAATGTTTAAAAAGCTTGCAGTGACTTTTTATCCAATAAATACTTACCTCCAGTCAAAAGACAATTGTTGGCCTTTTTTATATCAGAAACAAAATGAAGGGTCCTTTCGAAAACTAATTGGGATTTCAAGAAATCTATGAATAACGGAGAAGAATGAATGATGGTCACTTATCAACTGGGGATAAAACAATTGTTTCAGTCTGGGCTACTCCCATTCATAGTGTAAGTTTTGTTAGACTGGCAAACAAGCACAGTGCAGGGATTCTCTTCTGGCTCCATTTTATCATAACAACACACTGCATCCAGGAATCCATTTCTGTGACCTACCTCTTCCTTGCTCCTTGTTTGCTCTTACATGAGCCAGGAGTCTTTGTGGTCTATGTGTATAATGCGCCGTGTATGAATACGTGTGTACAGAGAAAATTATGTAATGAATAAACCAGTGGGGAGGAGTATCACAGGGCGTGTGTCATTTCCTGCAGATGACATCCTCTTCTTGCACAGAATGCAGTGCAAAAGCGGAGACACTCGTATTGCAGTACAACCTTTCTCACTCATGGGCTTTGGCTCTGTATGGCCCAACCAGGTGTTTTGGTGCAGCGTGCAGCTAAATGGCATACCCACGTCAAGGACACAGGCAGGAGCAAAGACTTCTAACAATTTATTTTCAACGTTATCGCTACTGAAATACGAGGAGTGGAGGCCGAGAGCTGCAATTAAATATCAGGTGGTTGTAGTTTTTGTTCTGGTTTCACTACCATTTGTCATTGACAAGCAGTCAGGAAAATGACCTTCTAAAGTGGTTTTGTGCTTACATCTGATCTCACAGAACTTGCACAACACCCTCCGCACAGCATCCGTTCACTAAGAGTTGGCACCAACTATTTTTATTCTGAAGACAGGAAACAGGAGATACGATTCAAAAAGTCTCCCTCTGACTTCAAAAATCCTACCTTTTTGACTATGCCCTTCCTGTCTCCTGTCTTTGTCCTTTCTCTCTCCTCTCTAATGTCTCCTCTCTCTTCAACACGACAAGCATTGATTCTACACCTGCTCCCTCATACAGGAAGTCTGTTGAAATAGGCTTCAACCTCATGACTGTTATTTCCTTTGAAACGATACTACATTCTTTCAGTCCTGAACATTCAACCAGGTCCACAGACCTAGAGGATTTCCCCTAGACCCCACCAGGTATGTCTACTCGCACACCTCTCACACTTCTTTCATTATGTTCGGGCATTCACTTCATCTCTGTAAAGAATTCTGAGATGTTTTCCTACACAAAAGGGGTTACATAATGTAAGTTGTAGCAGGAGGGAGGGTAGAATATTGTGTTTTTCTCTTTAATGATATGGAAAACGGTACCAAAGTAATAGGGTAGAGCCCTTGCTATAATGCAGTAGTTGTAGTCCATAAAATTCCCAGCCAGCATTATAATGGGGCGCAATCGCTGGTCAGTGCTTCAACATTCGTGCAGAACGTAGCCCACCAGCTCAGCACAGAAATGATGTGGACAGTGACCTGATGAACCAGAGGTTAGTCCTTGTGAGAAACCAAAATAGCTGATTTCTGGCTATGCTTTGAAGTGATTGAGGGCAATTGGAAGTGAGCTGGCTCTCTACGTGCATTTGGGATTTTTTTTGTGTGTGAGTTAATGTTAGCACCCACATCCCAATTGTACTTCAAGTGAACCCACATTATAACGTTATAATGAGGCTTAAGTAATTTGGATCCCTGACAGCCAAAGTGTCCTGGGCAGAAGGATTCTGACCTACCTGAGTGCTCACGGGATGGCCAGATGTCATCAATATCTGATGAGGATTCTCAATCCTTCTGGACATTTAGAACAAGCGATTTCAGGGGAAATCATAAAAATAACGTCCCAGACGTTAAAGTAGACCTGGTTCATTATCAGATAATATCAGAAAAGTCCATTTAGAGTTCCAGGTTAATAATAATAAGAATGTTATCGCACATAGTGAAAATAATAGCCCTCCAGGAGTGGAAGGGTACAGATACAGATAAACACAGCCAACTGCACTTGAGGTCATGAGGCACTAAAATCTAGTCAAAACTCTCTCTCTCCAAAGTACTCATTTCCTGACTGACTGCATTGGAAAAGGGTAGACAAGAGTTTACAAACACGCATTGCACTCATTTGTGAGTTGCCGTGTGAAAACAGTACATTAATGGATTGCATAAACTAATGTTAATATAATCCCAGACCAGATATAAACCTGAAAGCCTTGACGAGTAGAAAGATAAGTTCTTTAATATTCTTGAATTGTGAACATACGTGTGTGTTGTATTGTTGAACATATTGTGATATCGATATTTTTGCATTTGATTTTTTAAAAATACGGGTGGGATATTGATGGAAACTGCTAAGCCTTTCAGCATCAGTTTCTGTAAAATCCTCCCTGTGCTTTCAAAACTATTTTTGCCTTTAACAACATAGAATGCAAAAGTTGCTCCACTTTTAAACAGTAATATTGACTAAGTTTCCAACTACATTTGTTACAAGTCTATCTGATGGATTGTCTGAAAGTGCTGGGACGTACAGGAGAAAATGATGTTTTGGTTTATTGCTACCTTCTCTGTTCCTGCCCATTGCAAGTGTCAGGATAAGTGCTGCTGACTCTGAAGAAAAACAGCTTTCAAAAATTAAAGGCAGGCAAAAGAAATGATTTGCTGCATTTTCTTTCACAGCTCAACAGTTGAGTATGGGCAGCCAGAGCGGTAAACATGCATCACATCTTGATGCTGCTGAACAGTCAGCTAAGGTAAGAGGACAACGTGCTCCATGTAGCCCAGTGCACAAACCTCTTTCAGATGTCTCATTCACCATTAGTGAACTTTCAGATGTCTCATTCACCATGTAGTGAACTTTCAGATGTCTCATTCACCATGTTGTGAACTTTCAGAAGTTGCGTTTACTGTAAACATTCAGATGTCTCATTCACTGTCGTAGTGAATGTTTAGATGTCTTATTCATCATCTCGTAAAATTATTTTGTCAGTAAAACTATTTGTGCTTTAAAAGGTAAGATTGCACAAAATTGTGGAAAATTCTTCAATTTACCTTGGATCCTTAAGCTTCACTTGGCCATCAACCCCCATCCTCACCAGGTTCCACGGGCTCTCTGTCTTCCAGTGGATTGACTTCCATAGCTCTTATAAAAAACTTATAAATTTAGACTGAATTGAAGAGTTTTGTACAATTCTGCGTAATCTTGAAACAAAATGGTCTTAGACTAAGGCTAGATAAATGTTCTGGTCTTCTATTGGGTATGTGAGAAACATTAGAGTGGACCATCCCATTGTCTGTAGAAACTCTTTCCATGGACTGTATTTGTTGCCACAGAGTTGCAAGAATCATTTTATCAGATTTACAAACTGGATGGTAGATGATATTGCCAAATTAGTGAAGGTCCTCAGAAGTCATGTAGGTGCTCTGTTCAGGGCCCATTTGGTACTGCCTTACATCGAGGCTCGACTATGCAAACTCACTGTTTGTCGGCCTCCCTAACTCCTTCTTCCACAGGCTGCAGATGATCCAGAACTCTCCACCGGCCAGTGGAAATAGTTTCTCCTTGTTCAACCTATCGAATCCCCCTCATAATTTCGAAAACTTCTATTAAGTCTCCTCTTAACCTTTTCTGTTCCAAGGAGAATAATTCTAGCTTCTCCAGCCTCTCCTGATAACTCGCTCATTCCTGGTACCATCCTGGTAAATCTCCTTTGCACCCGCTCCGATGCCTTGACATCCTTCCTAGAGTGTGGTGCCCAGAACTGAACACAGCTGAGGCCTAACCAGTGTTTTATAAAGGTTCATCATAATTTCCTGACTTTTGTATTCTATGCCCTATTTATAAAGCCTAATATCCCATATGCTTTTTTAACAGTTTTATCTACTTGTCCTGCCACTTTCAAAGATTTACTTATATGATACTATGTACTGTATCTTAAGATATTATTTTCTAGCAGAAACAAACGACACTTTCTGCTTCCACCATCTCTCTAGGGAGCCTGTTCCACAAGTTTACTACTCGCTCACTGATGTAGTGTCTCCGCAGATTGGTTCTGAATTTAACACCTTCAATCGCAGGCTTTTATGTTAGCTGGAAGGGTGGTTACGGTCAGGACCACTGGATTCATTTTAAAAATAGCTTGATGTTGTGATGGGAGGAAGATAGGATGGATATTCTAGTATGAGATCAAAAAAGGTCTAAGGACCTTCTTCATCTGAACCAATCTTATGGTTAGATAGTAAATAACTTCCTAGACAAATAGAAATAAATTGCATTACCCCCATCCTGTTTTTCTTGGTTACATTAAATGGATCTTTGTGTGCACTCTAACGTTGCAGCCTTATCGAAGGTCTCTGAGCTGTAACCTTTGTTTGCACAATGACCTCACTGCAGTGTGAAAGGTTGGTGTTAAAGAGGAACATGATTGCTGTTTGAGGAAGGGAAGACACTCAAAGGAGCAGCCTTATCATAAATGAGTCAAACATGAATGAAGCAATGATGTAATTTAGGTCTCATCAATATTTTTGTGTCATATGTAGCATATAGTTCAGGCTGACACTCCAAAACAGTGCTGGGGGTGTATTGCATTATTAGAGCTGCCATCTTTTGGTTGAGAGATTAAACCAAGGCCCCTTCTGTCTGTTCAGGATTTGGGTAAATTAGACAGCCCTTCAAATAACCTGCAGTCACATTTCAATGTCCTGGCTGTGGGTCAAGTCGCTTTCAGTGTGCCGAATTCTATTCAGGTGGACATTAATGTTCCCATGGTATGGAAAACAGAAGGGCCAACAATCCATCAAATAAAATTGCTCATTCATTTCATGGCTGTTTGTGGGACATTGCTGTGCACAAATTGGCTGCCGTGTTCACTTACAAATACAGTCACTACATTTCACAGTCACTACATGACACACCTTCAGCTGCTTCTTAACAGTATTAACGGTTTCCAGGATAATGACCAATAATGTTGTTATTCTTGAGCATTTGACTCCAATGGAGAGATTTTAACTTGAAATATTTAAAATCACTATATCAAATGCAGTTATTATTATTTTATGAATACGATTCTGAGGTGAAAATATTTTAAGAAGTATACCAAATGAATCTTTTTACAATTATTGACTGAGGTGAATTAGGAACATATGCAAGTGACTTGGAGCACATTCAGGAATTGAAATGTGACTGCAGGATATTTGAAGGGCTGTCTAATTTACCGTAATCCTCAATTAAACAACCGCTGAGCTTGCGAAAAGCAGCCTGTGAAGAAACAACCTGTCATGTGTCCCAGCTTTTAATTCCCAGGGGAGGGTTAGCAGCAGATTGACAGATCTCCTCACCTCCAACTGCTTCTTAATAATGTTAACGGTTTCCAGGATAATGACTAACAATGGCGCTATTCTTCAGCGCTTGACTCTAATGTAGAGATTTTAATTTAAAATCACTTTCGTCCTCTTAATCAGGATCCTTGGAGTTTCCAAGGCTAGAACCTAGAAATATGATAATCTGTTAGCACCGCCTGCTGCTCTCTGCTTTTCAAGGACCAGAAGGCTATGTTTCCACTGGCAGACTCAGAACTCAGAGACAGCAGCAACAAAAGCTCTGCCTTGTGGGGTGACCATCTCTAGGTGAATTCTTCTTCTTGAACAGAAGCAATATTTTTTAAAAAAGAAAATTTCAATTCAGTACTTGCAGATTAAGCCAATTTAGGTGCTTGCTGCACAATATTTCAAGGGTTTTTGTGGCAGATGTGTCATGAGCCGTTAGCGATAGTCATTGTGCGAATCGAGCATCCTGACCTTGTCTTCTCGCTTTTGTTGTACAGCAAGCTGGGGCTTCACTCAACTCTTCATTTTGACACTTAAAGCGGAGTTAAAACAGCAGAGTGTTAGATTAGGAAAAGAAAAAGAAAAAAGGTAATTATCTGCAATACAACTTAAATGTATTTAGTGCTTTGAACATCGTCAAAACAGGAAAAGTATCTTTCAGACAATCGAGCCTTTTCCTCAAGTTTGTTAGATCTTGACAGATATTTTAATCTTTTATTTTAATATTTTAATTACGGAAACCTCTCCTTTCTCCCCAGTTCGGGGTCAAACTACTTCATTATTAAGTGGTCCAAGATTCTAGCCCATGTGAAGGGCACTATATAAATAAAAATTATTGTTCTTGTAAAAAGGGCACATGTTTGTTAGCCCTGAGGCAGGCCTTTCTTGCCCTTAAAAAGGTTTTTGTTATGTAAACATCCCTGGGATAGGCAACAGGAAACATTTGCCAACGGTCATGCTACTGTGCTGGGGTGCACTGCATTGTCGGAGGTGCAGTTCTTCAGATGAGATGTTAAAAAGTAACAATAGATCACATGCTCCCCTCGACAATGTCATCCGCAGGAATGGGGTCAATTTCTGCATGTATGTGGATGACATTCAACTCTATCTCGCTGCTTCGCTCTCGACTCCAGGTCCGTTGATGTCCTGGCTAATTGTCTGTCTGACATCAAGTCCTGGATGAGAGCCAATTTCCTCCAAACACAATGTTTGCAAGACAGAGGCCATTCTGCTTAGCTCCCGGCAACGTCTTCTCACCTCAGCAGCCGACACGACCACGATTCATGGCTGCACTCTTCACCTCACTGAGCCAATCCGAAATCTCGATGTCTTTTTCGACCCTCAGATATCCTTCAAACCCCACATTCGTGCCATGATCCGTTCCGCCTTTCCACACCTCCGCAACATTGTCCACCTTCTCCACTGCCCCTCACTGCAGCCCACCGAGACCTTGATCCACGCTTTCATTACATCCTTGTTTGACTACGCAAACTGCCTGCTCGCTGGACTTCCCAACTCTTCCCTCCACAAACTGCAGAACTATGCAGCTCGGATCCTCTCCCACACCAGGCTCCGGGAACCTATCACCCCTGTTCTTCACTGGCTTCACTGGCTCCCCATTCCTCAGAGAATCAAGTACAAAACTCTGGGTCTGACCTTAAAGATCTTGCTTCTCCCTATCTCTCCGACCTCATAGCCCCATATCAGCCTGTCCACTCCCGCTGCTCAGCGGGCACCTGCCTGCTTCAGGTCCTCCACACATCGCGCCCCACCATTGGCGGTCGGGCATTCAGCATCTCTGCTCCCACACTCTGGAACTCTATCCCGCAATCCCTCGCCCTCACCCCCTCTCTTGCTTCCTTCAAGTCCCCTCTGAAGATCTTCCTCTTCGATCGTGTCTTCAGCCACCCTCCCATCCCCACCCCCCCTGCCCTCCTCCCCTTCTGACCCCAACTACCAGCTCGGATCCAAAACACCTGATTGTCCTGTGGCTGGGACATCTTTCCAATGTGAAGGGCGCGATACAAGTGTCATTTGTTGGTGTTGTTGCTGCAGTTCCTGGGCCGTCTCACTCAGGTTGATCTCGGTGAATAAAATACCAATATTGTTCAAGGACATTTCTTATGTGGAAGAAGTTGGAAAGTAGGTGATCTTAAATTGGGTCGATGGTGGTACATGTGTACATGTGTGTTGCAAAACACTTACTGTATGAAACAATTACTTTGTTATGTCGCCAGTTGTATCACGCTCTACCAATGACTACCTTCTGAATTAGAAACTGAGACAACAGCTGCTCCAATGATTCAGTGAGTACACATCACATCGCATGATCCCCACAAGTTATGCACGCACACACATTTCCTACTTGCCAAACAAAATGAGATGTTAAAAAACGTTTTGCTTTAAGAAAAACTACGACTTCCAAATT